GGTAAGATGAGGTTACTAAGAAATTTTTAAGATTACTAGTCCAACTTTTTGTTATATTTCTAGTCCAAATAATGTATATTAATATTTATTATTTATGTAGAATAGAATTTTTTAACCGCTGCTTTTTATGCTTTAATTTAGCTTTGAGATGTTGTGCGTTTAAGGTAAGCTTTTATTTTTTTGCTTCTTAAAAGATAATCTTGGAGAAAATGGGTAACTTAATAATATATGGAAGTATGTATATCTAATAAATTAATTTGCGTCTTCTTAGCAACAGAATAAAAATCAACACCTAAGAAGTTCATCTTTAGCCACAGACGACGAAACAGACTCTCATTTATCTTATAGCAATTCAAGCTCGCCTTGTCAACCGTCTGGGCAAGATCAAGATTCTTGTAGCGTTGGAAGCACTACATGCCAGGTTTGATTTTTGATCAAATTTGTGGGTTTTTTGAGGCAAAACAAAATTCAGTATTTTTTTCAGAGTACTGTGGAAGATCAAATTGAAATTGAAGATACCAAGCCGTTATCGCCGAAAGTACAAGTCATAGCATCCAGTGGAGACAATATTATAGCCGTAGCAAATCCAGCCTTGGCCATGTCCACGGCCCTTATGCCCTTAGCCATAGTAAACGAGTCAAGAGATGGTGTTAATTTCTAACGACGGTTACGTTGTGATTTTTCACTTACAAAAATAATGTTCAATCGCAAATATATTCTAGTTATTTTTTTAAAAATTTGTTTTATTTAAACTTATATTAATAACTATTGAAATATATCCATATCATAGATTATAAAAACTATAAAAATCCATCTGAGAGCAAAAATGAAAGAAAGCAATATTAAGAATAAAATTTGCTACAACTTTTGTTCCAAAAGTGTTTTTGTAGTATGCGCCGAAACTCGAATGATACCATTAACTCCTTATAAAATTAGGAATTCAGCATATTTTCATATTTTCGTATTTTTCTCAATATTTATGCATCTGAGAGCAAAAGTGCAAGAGAGCAATATTGTTAACAATAAAATTTACTACAACTTTTGCTCCAAAAGTTTTTTTGTAGTATGCGCCGAAACCGGAATGATACCATTAACTCCTTATAAAATTAGGAATTCAGCATATTTTCATATTTTCGTATTTTTCTCAATATTTATGCATCTGAGAGCAAAAGTGCAAGAGAGCAATATTGTTAACAATAAAATTTACTACAACTTTTGCTCCAAAAGTTTTTTTGTAGTATGCGCCGAAACCGGAATGATACCATTAACTCCTTATAAAATTAGGAATTCAGCAAATTTTCATATTTTCGTATTTTTCTCGATATTTATGCATCTGAGAGCAAAAGTGCAAGAGAGCAATATTGTTAACAATGAAATTTACTACAACTTTTGTTTCAAAAGTTTTTTTGTAGTATGCGCCGAATCCCGAATGATACCATTAACTCCTTATAAAATTAGGAATTCAGCAAATTTTCATATTTTTCTCGATATTTATACATTTGAGAGCAAAAGCGCAAGAGAGCAATATTGTTAAGAATAAAATTTGCTACAACTTTTGTTCCAAAAGTGTTTTTGTAGTATGCGCCGAAACCCGAATGATACCATTAACTCCTTATAAAATTAGGAATTCAGCATATTTTCATATTTTTCTCGATATTTACACATTTGAGAGCAAAAGTGCAAGAGAGCAATATTGTCAACAATGAAATTTACTACAACTTTTGTTTCAAAAGTTTTTTTGTAGTATGCGCCGAATCCCGAATGATACCATTAACAACGAATTCAGCAAATTTTCATATTTTTCTCGATATTGACGCATCTGAGAGCAAGCAAGGCGTCGTTAATTCCGGAGAAGGTAGTTTTATCAAAAGCTCCTTCCACGTTCCTCTGGCCCTGTGCGGCTGGATTGAGAGCACTCTAAGACAAAGGGTCGTCAAACTAAGAGCTGGCCAAGCCACTCTTCAAGGGGCCTTGCTAGAGCATAACGTTCCTCTGGCCCTGTGCGGCTGGATTGAGAGCACTCTAAGACAAAGGGTCGTCAAATTAAGACCTGGCCAGGCCACTCTTCAAGGGGCTGTTACTAGAGGCTGTCCGCAAGGGGGAGTACTTTCTCCACTTTTGTGGAATCTCACCCTCGATAGCCTCATGAAACGCCTAAATCTAGCCGGTTTTAAAACCGTTGGCTACGCAGATGACCTGACAATCCTCATAAGAGGCAAGTACGCTAATGTACTCCTCGACAGGATGCAGGAAGCACTCAATCTAATTGAGAACTGGTGTAATAAACAATGCCTTTCCGTCAATCCCAAAAAGACAGAGATGGTTCTTTTTACACGCAAGCGCAACATTGGCAATCCTAGACTGCCAACGCTCGCTAAAATTCCACTTAAACTGTCTACAGAAGTCAAGTACTTGGGCTTAATAATAGACAGTAAGCTAACGTGGAAATCCCACCTAGACAATAGAGTTAATAAAGCTTGTGTCGCCTTCGGCCAGTGCCGGAGGGCTGTCGGGAGGACTTGGGGTCTGTCTCCCAAGATAGCCCTGTGGATCTACACCGCCGTTGTTCGACCAATGCTAACTTACGGTGCGGTGGTATGGTGGACTAGAACTTCTAAGTCTACCGCCACCACTGCGCTTAATAGAATACAGAGACTCGCGTGTCTGTATGTTACAGGTGCGCTGCGATCAACCCCCACAGCGGCCATGGAAATCATGTTAAATTTACCACCACTCAACCTACATATCCAGGAAGTGGCGTTGGTAACCATGAAACGACTACAATCAGTAGGAACTATGAAGGATGAGGACGCTGGCAGCAGTTCAACACTCTGGAGGGAAGCAGTGCTAGACACACCCCTACTCGAGTGTAAGACTGATCACAGACCAGCAAAATATGTTTTCTCAAGGAAGTACCTCACCCACGTCAGTCCCACAGTTGTAGATGTACATAGAACTTTAAAGATCTACACTGATGGTTCAAAAGGACGAAATGGTGCAGGCGCGGGGGTATTCTCTCACGATCCCCTGATTCGCCTCTCAGAACCTTTAGGGTCCAGCACCACCGTCATACAAGCGGAACTAACTGCTATTAAACTTGCTGCTGACTGCATTGTTGAATCCAACAAGCGGGGTAAGTGTTTTACTATTTTTACAGACAGTAAACAATCTCTTTTAGCTTTAAGCAGAGTTATTATAACGTCTGCAGTAGTTATGGATTGTCACAAAGCACTGGAGGAGGCCGCGAAATACAATTCTGTCAGAATCCAGTGGATTAAAGGGCATTCCGGCTCCAAGGGTAACAACCACGCGGACAGGCTAGCCAAACGTGCTGCCGGTAGAGCGCCCTGTGCACCCGAGCCGATAATTACCCCCTCCTTAGCCACTCATATCGAGTTAATAAAGCACATTACCCACAAAAAATTTTTAAACGGGTGGGACCGTACCCCGGGCTGTCATCTCGCTAAGGAATTGTTAAAATATCCTTCAGCCGCAACAGCCCAGTTTTTCGTAGGGCTCGGTAAAAGTGCCCTTCGCACTGCCACAGGTCTCCTCACGGGACACTGTAAAGTAAATAAGCACCTTCAAAACATGAAGCTTGCTGACTCTCCTCTCTGTCGAGCCTGTGAACAGGATGACGAGACGGTTAAACACATCTTGTGTGATTGCCCCTCTCTGACCGACCTCAGAATGAGGACCTTCGGGGAGGAATGGCCAACCACAGATGACATCAGGAATGCACCTCTAGGAGCTGTCCTAGCCTTTGGTAAATCCTTAGGCTGGTTGATGTGACCAGAGTGTGTAATGGGAGGATGCACAAGGGGCCCAATGGGGCCTAAGTGTGGCGTGCGGTTTTGCATGCACTCCCCAATCCATACATACATACATACATACATCTGAGAGCAAAAGTGCAAGAGAGCAATATTGTTAAGAATAAAATTTGCTACAACTTTTGTTCTAAAAGTTTTTTTGTAGTATACTCCAAATCCTGAGTATTAATAAGTCTAAATAAGTCTAAATTTTAAATTAAAGTACTTGAACCAAATCATAGATGGCACTACAAGTTAATCTACATATTATTGGCGCCATCTGTTACCTAATATCCGAAGTTATTACTTTAAAAAGTCTTTTAATAAAGATTTGATTATAATTTCAGGTTGATTTTGGGGTTTCCGAAGATTAATTGAAATTTTATTTAGACAAAAGATAGATAGACATATAAAAACAATCGAAAATATTGGTACAGTTCAAATATTCATCAGTCGTATAGAAAAAATTTTTTAGTTTCAATTTAAAAAAATTATTAAATCAAAAAGAGTGTTCTAAAAATGTTCAAAAATTCAAGGCAACTCTATTTTTAATAGCTCACGATTAATTTATATTTTAAATTAAATTTTAAGGAATGTAATTTGTGGTGCGATAAAAATCCTATTTAATATAGTAAGTAATATATAAGTAGTAAGTATTCCTAAAATCATATTAATTCTATTTTTAATAATAAAAAAATGATTAATATCATAAATGGATAAATTAATAATTTTTATATATTATTATATTATATATATATATATAGATTAATATAATAAATATAATAGTATAATAAAGTATAATAAATAAAAAAAAAGTATAATAAATAGATTAATAATAAATAAATAAAAAATTGTGTTGTTTTGATAGAAAAGGAATTCATTTCCGCGTGGACGTTGAAATGCTTAATCACTTGTTCTTGTTGGATTGATTAGAAATTAAAAGCTAAATATTGATTAAAAAAGGAATTTAAATGATTCACTCCCAAAATTATAGCAAATATTTTAAACATGACTGATATGGCACTTGTGAAACGTAAAAGGTAGCGAGCACCTCGTTATTTCCATCCAATTCAATTCCACATGTCCAAAGTGACCCATTATTAAGTAAGTAACATCATTTAATTATTTGATTGTATCTCCAGTTTCTTTCAAAATATAACAATAAATTTGAATAATCGTTATATTTTTAAAATGGAATCAAATAAAATTCCATCTCATTATTCGCTGCGTGTTAGAAAACCAAGCGACGATCAAAAATTATGTAAACCTAATTCAAAACGAAAGGGTAAAATGAAATTATTTTTTTGATTCAAGCACCACATGATTTTTTTTCAGCAACAAATAATCCCGATTCTAAAGACGTTAAACAGCGAAAAGTTCCCGCGAAGGCTAAAAAAGGTAAAAACATTTTTAATACTGACTTAACAAAATATTTTAAATATTTTAGTTCAAATTTTAAATGTGTGTAATGATCACAATAAACGGAGTTTGCAATTTCAAGGTAACATTAACGGAAAAATAAATCAAAAAAAATATATATTATTTATTTTTTTTAGTTAATAAAACCTCGGTTGGTAATCATTACCAATCTTCAGATGAAGAGGATATTTCTAAGAGTATGATGATACTTAAATATTTATTTTTGTATATATGTATTTATTTTTTGAATTTTAGAGTTACCAACAAACCTTCGATCCATCCTCCGTTCTTCAGAAACACCAAAAAAAAACCATCGAGTTTCTTGGAACCCAGATTTAGTCGAAGAAATTGGTTGGTGAAATTTATATAAATAACAAAACATTAAAAAAATAATTTATAGATATAACCCCCACTTTATCGCCTCCTTTCAATTCTAAATCGTTAAACGAAGATTTCGATTTCCATTTTAATCAAATTTTGGAAATACAATTAGACACTAATGGACCAAAAGTAATCGTAGAACCGATTGAGACAGGTAAAAAAATTAATTATTTATAAATAAATAATAAAAAAAAATTATTTTAGAGATTTTTGCAGCAACTATTTCCAATCTATTACTTCAACCGATTAATAAGATAGAAGGTAATGAAAATAAATACATTATTTTTTTATAATTAATTTTAAATTTAATTCCAGATGTTCCGATTCAAGCAGAATTTCAATCGCGTCTCAACGCAAATGAAGACTTACACGACATTATGGATTCATTTTTGAACAAATACGAGGAAGGAGACATGGAAATGAGATGAAATAAATTGATTAGTTAAAAAAATTGAGACTGATGTTGAAATGTTACAAAAAATATACAAACAATATGTGATGTTACTAATTTATTTAATTAAATTAAATTAAATGTTTTGTACGTATGCATTATATATAATTTAACTTAAAATATATTTTTTTTTATTATCAAGAATTTTTTTTTATTTTATTTCTGCAACATTATATCTTAATTAATGTTGGAGATATGACAAAATGTAGAAGGATAGTTGCTCAAAATTTAATTAATTCTATTATCTGCAATATTTTAAATAATAAATTAACAGCTTGTAAAACTGTAAATTCAGCAAATTTTCATTTTTTCTCGATATTGACGCATCTGAGAGCAAAAGTGCAAGAGAGCAATATTGTTAAGAATAAAATTTGCTACAACTTTTGTTTCAAAAGTTTTTTTGTAGTATGCGCCGAAACCCGAATGATACCATTAACTGTTTATAAAATTAGGAATTCAGCATATTTTCGTATTTTTCTCGATATTTATGCATCTTAGAGCAAAAGTGAAAGAGAGCAATATTGTTAACAATGAAATTTGCTACAACTTTTGTTTCAAAAGTTTTTTTGTAGTATGCGCCGAATCCCGAATGATACCATTAACTCCTTATAAAATTAGGAATTTAGCATATTTTCATATTTTCGTATTTTTCTCGATATTTATGCATCTGAGGGCAAAAGTGAAAGAGAGCAATATTGTTAACAATAAAATTTGCTACAACTTTTGTTTCAAAAGTTTTTTTGTAGTATGCGCCGAATCCCGAATGATACCATTAGCTGCTTATAAAATTACGAATTCAGCAAATTTTCGTCTTTTTCTCGATATTTACACATTTGAGAGCAAAAGTGCAAGAGAGCAATATTGTTAACAATGAAATTTACTACAACTTTTGTTTCAAAAGTTTTTTTGTAGTATGCGCCGAATCCCGAATGATACCATTAACTCCTTATAAAATTAGGAATTCAGCATATTTTCATATTTTCGTATTTTTCTCGATATTTATGCATCTGAGAGCAAAAGTGAAAGAGAGCAATATTGTTAACAATAAAATTTACTACAACTTTTGTGTCAAAAGTTTTTTTGTAGTATGCGCCGAATCCCCAATGATACCATTAACTCCTTATAAAATTAGGAATTCAGCAAATTTTCATATTTTCGTATTTTTCTCGATATTTATGCATCTGAGAGTAAAAGTGCAAGAGAGCAATATTATTAACAATAAAATTTACTACAACTTTTGTTTCAAAAGTTTTTTTGTAGTATGCGCCGAATCCCGAATGATACCATTAACTCCTTATACTAGAAAATTATATTGCTACAACTTTTGTGCAGTACTTTATCACTTTCAGTACCTAGGATAAGGAAACGGAATAATTAAAGCCAACCCAAGTTGAGCTAAATTTATAATCGTTGAACTTGTAACGCGTGTTTTTGGATATTCGTCATAATTTTTTAATCACCTCCAAAAATTAATCACCACGTTTATAACGGCAACGACCGTACAGCGAGCTTTGTAGTTATAAATTTGAACGTAAGCAGTGTGTATGATACGTTATTTTGTGAAGTGTATAAGAAATAAATTCTGACAACAACAATGAGACCTAATGGTAAGTATAAACAATTCTTAATAATTAAGATTAAAAAAAATTTATTTTAGAATCTCACCAGCTAAATCAACAACTCCATTCCTCCCACCGTGGTGATGACCCTGATATTTTATCCCAATCTTCAACAGAACAAAATATTGAGTGCGTTGACGATCAAATTACTACAAAACGTGAGACTTTATTAATAATAATGAATTATTTAACAAATTATTTAATTATTGTAGAGTTTCAACAGCTAAATCATGAAGACCAGCAGGAAAATCAAGATACTAAAACTACAAGCATTTCAAAAGAATCAAAAAACAAGAATCTTAAATATAGAAAAGCTCGAATTTCAAATAATCAAGTTATTTTAAGTTGTCCTGTAAGCATACCTTTAAAGCGTTTGGATCAAACATTCATTCACGAAATTCGTAATAAATATAAAGCCATTTGTGGTTCAAGTTTGAGTAATCGATCGAATATTCGAAAATGTTATCTTGGTACTGAATCATTTCCTCAAAGTGCTAATGTAAATCAAGAAAAATTAGTTCCTAGTGATGAGGAATAAGTTGTTTAAAATGTTAACCACTTTTACTACAAATAAAACAATTTTTTTTTTATTGAAATATTTATGAATATATTTAATAATATAAATACAATCTTATTAGTTTATCGTCGTTTTAACTTTATGTCGTTGGTCATAAGCAATTCATATAATCGAGTTCCAGCCTTAAATTGTTCGTTGGATTTAAATGGGCGTAGACTCCAATCAACATCATCAATATTCTAAATAAATTAAGAAATAAAATATATTTAATTTAAAAATATTAAAAACTTACAAACTCTGTGCTGTGAGGAATTCGGCTTTTACAAACGCCATAACCAAATTCGCGTTTTGATAAAAATTCAATCTCATACACGTTAGGAATATTTTGTCGCATATCGATATTCAAAAAATAAAACGTCATGAATTTCGAAAAAACGAATTTTATCTTGTTCGATTTCACAATATCCACCAACTCCTTTCCTATTTGTTCTTCTTTAAGCATGATTAGGTCGAAAATAAATCCGCCATGATGAGTGCACATATAAACCAAACTTGAAGGGGTTTCCGTTATGTCTACATAATTTATAGGAACGATCAAAATCGCCTCTGCTTTATTCAATTTCTTGATAGCGTCCGTGTAAATCTTTTTTTTATTCCATACGTACGTCATCTTGGGTTGGGTTTTAATAGCCTTAAGAGCATCCATGATTAGGAAAAAACAATGCGAACTACACGAACAGCATTAGATGAATGAGTTAAACGAGTCTGCGTGATGCGAAGTTGGGTTCAATTTCGACCTTATTGGTAAGCGGGAAATTTAAATAATAAAAAATTAAAGATTTTTTTTTAATATTTATTTACCAACATTTATAATTAAAACATTTCTAATTATAAATTGTTTAGATTATTGATTTTAGTTCGAATTTCCTCGATTGCTGATACAAAAAGTGCAAAAAGATGAGAATCCCTTGGATTTACCTGATTTCCCATAAACTTTTTCAGTGCCTTTATATGTTGGCGGTGATGGGAAATTGTCAGCATCGGGAAATCGGAATCTCCCTTCAAAATTGGTTGGCGATAAAGACTGTTGATTGAAGTTAATATCTTTCCTGGAGCACGTTCTCGGTGGAGGTGGAGGCGGAGATGGATTTCCTGGCTAAATAAAATTAAATATTAAAATAGTGAATTATTTAATAATTATTTTAATTACTTACAAGGGATGGATAAATAATTTTTGTGGGGTGATTTGTAGCTCTGATAACGGAAGGAGGGAGCGGAAATTGCTCTTTTTCTGGACCCTTATTTTTTCTAGCAGGTTTGAGAGATCCTTCTGGCATATTCCTCATTGGTACACTAAATCTTCTTTGGTGAATTCTCTCCAAAGCGCTTTTTAAATCCGGCATCAATTTTTTCATCATTTCAGCATCAGAAACATTCTTCTCACAAACTCCAGGACTTTCAGGATCTATCGATAAAAAATTATTCAGCGTGCAGTTTAATGCATTGATTTTGTCGTTAAGAAGCGGCTTGATCACTTTCGGTTTGTCAGAATTCAATTTTGTATAAAAGTTGTTCATATTCGATGAATCCATTTCGCCAATCTATTAACTACTGACCGTTAATTTGTTGGAAACCCAAATCGATACGATACGTAATCGGTTCTATTTAAAATTTTAGTATTTCACCTTAATTTAGTGACTTCAATTTGATTTTAAGTCATTTAGGCAAAGGTTTGAAAAATAATATGTTTTATCAAATCGAAGGTAATAAAATCTATTTTTAGATCGCATTGTAATAGGTTTTGGTAATTTTAAATATTGCACGGTTTTCAACCCAGGAGGTGAATTACAAAATTAAATTAAACGTAATTATGAAAAAATTTTATATACAGTGCGTTTAATTTTAGGTGTCCACAAATATTTTGAGCATATTTTCGTATAATTCTTAATATTTATGCATCTTCCATAAATTGAAATTGAAAATTTCCCAAAAGTGTTATTAAAAGTGTCTTCTTGGAAGAAAGTTCTTGGAATATGAGTATGAAAATGAAAAAGTGAAAGGCACGGCGTGAAGTGTTATATTCACAGCATCTACCTCTGATAAACCAATCAGAATGAGTCGTTATTGGAGGAAGCGCCAATAAGCACGGTGTTGCCCAAGAAGCTATTTTGATCATTATTGACTCTATCACACCAATTGAATCATTTTAAGCTTAAAAGTTTAATTATTAATAAGATGTAGTTATCTCTGAGGATGGCTTCCGACCGAAACTAGTCAGACATAAAGACCCATTTTTATTTATACAATTAATTTAATCTAATATTTGAGTTGTTTGGTTTCAAATACCCTTAAGTCCAAATTTTTCGATTTTGAGAAAACGGCAAAAAAGTATTTTGGGATGATTTTGGCGTTAATAATTCAAACATAATTTATTTGTTATTAGAAGACTTACTGAAGTTTCAAAAATTCTATAACCACGTCTTTTGAAATAAATATAAAAATCACAAAGTGGATTTAAAAATGGTGTTTGGTTGCGTTTGCTACCAAACTGTGGATTAAGGCTCATTTGAATCTGAACAAAATGGATTAGGCATGAATTGAAAGTGAATCAAATCTCTTTGTAGCTAATAACAGGAAACTTTATTTTTTGAAAGATATGTTATTTAAAAACTGTACTTAAAAAACTCTTAAACTGTAACATCAGGTATATTTTCGGTTGATTCACATAAACTAGGCTCTTCGTCCCCACTGTCTTCTCGAGAATCGCCAGGAATATTATTGTTCTGAAATTTTCCCAACACATCTCTATAATAAGCCAAATTTTCTACCGCTCTCCAGTTCTTTCCATAATGTTTGCTTAACAAGTTATTTACATCTCTCATTTTCAGATCTTTTGGTTTCACTCCGGTAGGAATTTCTTTTGGCTGGATATTCATGGCGGTTTGGTTTTTCCTAAAAACTCCTTTGAATGTTCCGGTGTCTGAACGGTAAGATAACTCACCTCGAATGGTGATGGCGTTTTTGTTGCCACGTCGTATAATATATCTCTTACATTGGTTAAATTTAAAATGCCACTGAGACACTGGCTTAAGGATTTTTTGACCAGCACCTTTCCAATCACTATCGGGAACATCTTTTCCAAGTTTAAAAACAGTAGCATGTTCTTGAAAAATATTTATGTATTCTTCTGGCATTACAATTTCTTCTTTCTTTCTTATTTCTTTTTCGATAGTAGCAAAAACCCTGTCAGGTGGAATGTAGGAGTGCCCAACCACTGGGAATACCAGCTCGATTGTTCTAATAGAACTGCTTATACTGCTTAGCCATTTGAACAACATACATATCATAATGGTATTTTTATTTTGGCCGCCGCATCCATCGGCGACCAATCGAAGTGTATCTATTCCCTCTAAGTTACTATTGTTTAAAGTGTAAAAGACGCAGCTTGCGATTTCGTTGGCGCCCTTGGCATGTTCATCTTCAGTCCACGTGAAAATTTTAACATTATCTTTTGTTAACGGAGCATGTGAGTGCCCCACTACAGTAGTGAAGTTGTAAATGTACAGTTGTCTACTATAATAGGTACTTTGATCTGGTATTTTGGGCAATACCAAGTTTTTCTGACAATCAAAAGAAATTGTCAGAAGGCCGTCCCGTTTCTCTTTTAGCTGTTCAAAAAATGCTTTGGCCCTGAGCTTATGTATTCGGTATTCTGTAGTTAGCACTGTTTTAATAGATGCAACCTTTTCATTTTTAATTTTTTCCCGGAGTTCAAGACACTTAGAGCAAACATCGGTGCTAGGAGATCCAAAGCCGATGTTGAAGGAAGTATTAAAAATAAATCGAAAGTAGCTCTCTTTAATATCTAAAGGCTGTCTATTTGATTTGAATTTTTAAGGGATTCGCGCGTTTTTTAATACAAATCATTGAGTATTTTATAGAAAACAACTTAAT